GCTATGGCCCCCAGTTGCATATTAGGAAGATAAGGCAGAGAGGATAACCGAAAATAGTTTACCATAACAATTCCTGCGTAAACATCAACTATGCATGTGTCAGTCGACTTGCCCCGTGTTCGCCAGCAAGTCGTCTGTGGTTGCGTCACGGCGTTCTCGTCCGCAGCAAGTCCCGCCTCATGTATCCACTCTCGCATTTAAAGGCAACCGGTCCGTGCCCGCATTGCCCCTTCTTATTGGCCCATCTGGGTAACCATCGGATGCTGGCTGACCTCTCAAGGACATGCATAATTCGGCGGCTTTGTTACCCGTAGTCACAGCTCTTTGTGACTGGGTGCTTACCTCTGTTCGCGCGCCTTTGTTCAGCGTGATCTCAGGATGTCTGTCTGGATGACAAGCGTGGTGGCTCACGTGCTCGGCTATCCCAACACTCAGGAAAATAAAACAACTGGTCCGATGCTCGACAAGCCTTCTCCTTTACCCGTACAAACACCTGGGACGCGAACTTTCTCATTTGTTCGTGAAAGCTTCCTGATCAAAAAGCCAATGAACAACCAAAAGTTAATAAAAAAACGCACTGAGTTACCTCGGCTCTTTCCTCATTCCACTTCGCCCGCTCGGCATCGAAAGCCTTCAGTTGTTCCTCTCGTTCGGCATCCAGACGCTTCTTCTGTTCTTCGACTGGCGAGGAAACAGGCAAAAGACAATGCCTCTATACTGGCGTAATTAAGTAAATCTGAGTATGTAACCCGTGGTAGCCCTTTTCCATACTTGTAATTATTCATAACTTTGTCGTACGTTTATTCGTGCACAACCTTCTAGACTAATTCTATTTATTACGCATTTTTGTACCTTGCATTTATACCTTTTTGTTTAAGTCGGTGTACAAGTGTTACCCGCTACACTTCAATTGGTTTGCATTACATATCAACGACGGACATCTTGCTGCTCCTACTGTTGTTCTTCACTAGACGAGGTGTTCAGTCGATTTTACCATATCCGGGGTATTGGGCTCGGCGTGGGCTCGGATCAAGTGAGCTTTTACCCGCACTAAAAATCTACTCAAAAGATCAAAACGACAAGACAAAATGTAGGCTAAACTACCAACTCGACTTTCGATAATGACTCTGTATGAGTTAGATCACCTACAGCATGCGCAAGAGAGAGGCTAGTGAGACCCGAACGAGCGAAAGTTATTCTCAATTGACAGAGATAAGCTAAGAAGCAAAAACATCAGCCTTTGCTCCAGCAGGTCCCGAAAAATATTTTTCCAGATGGGCAGCATCAACAAGCCGCCAAGAATAAGATAGAGGAAGGCAAAAAAAGGACATGAATTTTTTTTAAATAAGGGGAAGGAGGAGAAACTGAAAAGGATAATGCACGAAAACAGTTAGATAGAACCGCAGGAAAGACACTAAAAGAGTTCAAATCCAACATCAACTTACTCCCCCCATTGACGGGGGAGGCATGTAAGAGTGAACACAGAATGGGTTTTGCGAAAACGTCCATATTGCGACAGTAAATTCAGACTGGCAGACATCTACTTTCAATCATCCCTTGTAAGGCCGCTACAATGACAGACTTACGTGCTGTCTTCATCTCCTTTCGAAGGAGAACCATCTCGCGCTCGAAGTCAGCCTTCGCCCTCTCGAAATCTGCACGAACTTCAGCCAGCTCCCCGGTCAGTGCTATAAGACGTTGTCGGAGTTGAACATTCTCAGCTAAAAGCCGGGTTAAAGGGGAGTAATTGCAAACGTGCAAGTGTTGGTGGGGAAAGAGGTGAAGGAAAGGCACATCGCTGCAAAAACCCTGTCAACAGGATGCCTTCTATTTGATACAGACGGGCCTTTCTCCGTCCCAACTCGCAATTGCAAAGGGGAAAAACAAGTGGAGGATTATACTGGCCTATGGCAAGATTTCGTTTAATAGAAAACGGCATTATTTTTTCGTATGTTGATGGTACCTTTGGATTTCTTTTACTTAGACCCGGTTATCAGCTGGGGCTCCACAAAGATGCATCAAAGTTAGCTTGCTAGCCTCTTGCCAGCCAGGCAAGTTATGCGTGAGAAGTATGGCCTAATAATAGGACGGAGATTAACCGTCCCTTGAAGAAAAAAACTTTTTGGGACGATAAAGTAAATTTATCCAGTAAAATTTCGAGACTGGTTCTCCGGTTCGTCTTCAGACTAGAAAGAATGTGCAACAAACAATTAAAATTTCAAACGTGCAGAAAAATCAATAGTCAGCTGGAGTGAACGTTGATTGGTAACTGTGGTTTACATCAGTCCAAATTGCTCGGCCCTCGTCTCCTCTATCGTTCTTTGACTTGTTTGTAGATTCCATCCAGCTCTATATGACAGTTGGTGCAAGAAACATCGGAGTACATGGCCTCAAGAAATTCTAGACCTTTTTAGCCAGGGCAAGCTCTGACGATGCATATTTTGTCCCATGTGGAGCTGTGTCCTGTACCAAGGCTATGCATAGCCACTTCGGATATATGGTCTCGTTTTTCACTGCCAGTTGGTGCTCGCGAATGCGTGTGGAGACGGACCTTCCTGTCTGGCCACAGTATACGGTAGCATAAGCGTCGCCATATATCCGAAGTGGCTATGCATAGCCTTGATACAGGACACAGCTTCGCATGGGAGATAACACGCAACATCAGAGTTTACGCCTACTAAAAAGGCCAAAAATTTATTGAGGCCATGCACTCCGATGATTCATGCATCAACTGAAATCGAGTTAAATGGATTGTACAAACATCTCAAAGGACGATGGATCAGAGGAGAATCGAGCAATACGGACTGACATAAACCGCAACTACCAATAAACGCTCACTCCAGATGACTATTGATTTTTTCCGCACTTTTGATATTTTAATTGTTCGTTGCACATTCTCTATAGTCTGAAGACCAGCCGGGAAAACAGTTAAGAAAATTTATTGAATAAATTTACCTTGTTGCTCCAAAAACGCATTTTCTTCAAATTACATTCCTTTGGATGCTTGATTTTTAATTTATACGAATGAATCGTTCTGTCGCAGACCTTAACCGGAGAGTTGTGTCAAATAGGTCAATAACCGGACAGCCTGGCTTAGTCTTCTCATAAGAAATCCAGGGGTAGGTGGCGGTACTAGTATTCAAAACAGCCCGACAGGATACAGGAACAGAAACTTCCCTATTCTATGGGCTTTTCACTAACTCCCAAGGAGATTAGGGTCAGTGTTAAGGCTAAGGTAGGGTTGGAGGCACGGTTAGTATAAAGACTAGTATTCGGCTTAGGATGTAGTGGCCCAACTCCGTGCGCAACGCTCAACCTCTTGCGACTGTTAGCACGCATGCAGCAGTGTCTGCCGACCCCAATCCTGTCTGGCCAATCACCTTCAAGGCGAACTCACACAGAACCTCACTGTGACGACTGCCACACCCTCGCATTTCGGACGCAGCCCTCGCGGGGTGCGATCGTGCATTCATCCGACTGTTAACTTCCCCCAATCTATTCTCCACTACCTCCGTTTAGCTATATTATTCCTCCCATTTGGCGTCCCACTTCTTCTCTTTCCCTTACGGAACCTGAAAATCGCAGCGGTAAGGGTCTTTCCTATTAAATTAAGCCGCTGCGATAAGGTCATGGGGATATTGACCCTTCCTGATATTTAGCGCGAGGCTAGATGTAGTATCGAGGAGGTGGCGGGGGGGTGTTTCTATTCCTTTGTACTACAGTAGTCGCCGGCTATTAAGCCCACCTCGGGCCCAGACCGAATTGGGCT